ATAAAAATAAATTCAACTGGATACTCACTTGGACACATTGCCCACTACTATTGTTTTCTTTACAAAAAGTCGCGAAGTCTCATCTGTGAGATCAGCATTCCGCTGTTCTGTTTTATGGGAGCCAGTAACACTAGAAGCATCCTGAAAAAAATCATAATCAACATCCATTCTCATTTTGAACAATTTTCAATAGGACAGAAATCACAACATCATAAAAAGTATAAATGGAATAACTAAGTTTTTTTTTTAATTTACAAAATTTTCTGGCTTCGTGGCACCTCTCAAAGCATTAAAACAATTTACTACAAAAGCTGCCTTAATTTATACAAAGTTTATATACTATAACTCCCGGTGTGTTTTCAATAGTTACATACATCTGCTTTGGATATGCAAACAGGATTTGGAAGAATACACAAAAAACTGTTACACCGGTTACTTCTGGGAAACGGGAATAGAAAGAGAGAAAGGGGTCAATGGAATTTACCTTCTTTTTAACCTTTTGTAATACTCAAAAATGTTCAATGAGAAGTAAGTGTCTGGTACGTAGTAAATGCTAAATGTTTGTTATATAAATACATACAGAAATGACCATGTATTGTATAAAACATGTTAAGTTTCTATGACCATTATGCCCTAAATTCTCTTTTTCTTCTTGAGACGGAGTCTCACTCTGTCACCCAGGTTGGAGTGCAATGGCGCGATCTCGGCTCAGTGCAACCTCCGACTTCCGGGTTCAAGTGATTCTCCTGCCTCAGCCTCTCGAGTAGCTGGGATTACAGGTGCCCGCCACTAAGCCCAGGTAATTTTTGTATTTTTAGTAGAAACAGAGTTTCACCACGTTATTCAGGTTGGTCTCGAACTCCTGACCTCAGGTGATCCGCCTGCCTTGACTTAGCAAAGTGCTGGGATTACAGGCGTGAGCTACCGCGCCCAGCCTCCTAAATTCTTTTTAACTAAAAAAAAGAAAAACACATGTAATATTTGCTCAGGAATAATACTGGAAAGGTAAGGTAAATCCAAATAGTGAAGAGTTCTGATTTTGGGGGTGGTAGCCTCACGAATGAACTTCTCTATTCTTTTTTACTTTTCTGTATTTAACAATTTTGAAAAATGAACACATACAAATTTATAATCAGAAAAATAAATGCAAACTTTTTTTTTTATCAAAAATAAATCAAATTCTTGATGTCTAAGTATGTGGAAAGTAACTTGGAAATTTTCTCTATCACAGAACACCTGGCTGAGAAAAATCACTGCTCTAATCCAATAATAACTCTATAGCCAAAAATTTTATCAAGAAGTTCAGAGTAGCTTGAGATGGGAGCTCAAATTGCAAATTGGCAGGATCAAAGAGCAATGTTTTTCAATTCTGTTTGTTTGTCAAACTTCCTCCATCTACTAAAGCATCTTAGAATATAAAGTCTCACAGGAAACTGTTGAAGAACGACAGCTCTCGAGAGAATAAATATGACAGAGTGGAAAGACCTTGAGCAAGAGCACAGAATTGCCGAGCTGGAAGGTTTCTTTCACACCTATGTAAACAGCATCCAAGAGCTGTGCTGTGCACAGAATCCCCAGGCTGTAAAATCAGAAACATTAAGGTTTAAGTCAGGCATGGTAACTCACGCCTGTAATCCCAGCACTTTGGGAAGCCGAGGCAGGCGGATCACAGGGTCAGGAGATCGAGATCAGTCTGGCCAACATGGTGAAACCCTGTATCTACTAAAAATACAAAAAATTAGCCAGGCATGGTAGCACATGTCTGTAATCCCAACTACTTGGGAGGCTGAGACAGGA